GAGGATTTTATTTAGGGACGATTTTAAGTATAATTTTAATTGGAACACAGCTTCGAATATTTGGTTTTTAATTTGGTTTTAGAGGGGTTTTTATTTTTATTGATATGTGTATCTGTTTTAATATGCTGTGCACCGCCCTGAGTCCTGCGGGAGAAGGGCGGTATAGAAATTAAATTAATAATAATAATAATAATAATAAGATGATAGCAAATGCCCACCCCCACCTTCCTGCCTTTCCTTCCAAGCTGCTTCAGTTCTTACTTTTCTTCTACATGGATCGTGGGATGGTCTGCATTGAATTTGGTGACAAACCGCTTCCTGCTTCAATAAGAAAGAAAAAAAACACAGACCTTTTCTTGACCACTCAGCATTTATCATCTAATGTAGCATTTCTCAGTCTGGGCAGCTTTAAGATGTAGGGACTTCAGTTCCCAGCATTCCTCAGCCAGCAGTGCTGGGAATGGAAGTCCCCACACCTTAAAAGTTGCCCAGGTTGAGAAACACAGACATAAAGTGACTATTATGGTAGCCTTGCCCAATGTTAAAGTCTCTTCTCCCTGATACATACACAGAGAGAGAGAGCATTTTCCAAGTTGATGTTCTTTTTTATACCTTTTGGGATGTTGCATCAAAGAACTTCTGTTAACCCATACTTAGCTAGAATTAAACACAACATTTCCTGTTCTTGCAAGACTTCTCTACACACTGATATTTATTTTTTTTAAAAAAAAAGAATGTTAAGACCATTTGTGTTTGAGAGGGAGAAAAAGAAATTTAAGTACGGTATGGAAGGAGTTTGTAATAATTCTTTATAGTTGTACAGCTTCAAGTCACAGAAACTGGCTTTTATTGCATTCCTTCGTTAATGTTACCATAATAAAACAGACATTTAGATCTGGTTGTTGTTGTTTTGTTGAATTCTCTGTATACGGGTTTTAAAACAATTCTCCCCCTTTCTCACCTTTCAGACTCTGTATGACAGCGTGTACCTAACTTTGTACAACATTTGTTTCACATCCCTTCCAGTCCTCATGTATAGTCTTTTTGAACAGCATGTGCATCCTCATGTATTGCACAGCAAGCCAACACTCTACCGGTAAGCATACGTCTTTTCAAGAGAGGGTTTTGCTTGGTAAGAGACAAGTTGTATGGCTCCTCCTACTCAAAAACCACTCGTTAGAGACCCAAAGGGTGCTGGGTTTTAAAGTCTAGGTCAGGGGTAGGCAACCTTGGCTCTTTTATGACTCGTGGACTTCAACTCCCAGAATTCCTGAGCCAGCCATGCTGAGGGGGAAGGGAGAGGTTTCCAAGCTGAGCCAGGCTGGCTCAGGAATTCTGGGAGTTGAAGTCCACGAGTCATAAAAGAGCCAAGGTTGCCTACCCCTGGTCTAGGTTGTTTATAGAAACAACTCATACTAATTTGAAATATTAGAGGAATCCCTGTGCTGCTAGGCCATGATGGAGCATATTCTTTATATCTTAAGAATTTAGGGTCAGTTCTACCATCTTCAGTTAATGAGTTTGTTATTTTATTTTATTTTATTACTAGCTGTACCCGGCCACGCATTGCTGTGGCTCAGTCTGGTTAAATGGAAAAGAAAGAAAAGAGAAAGCGCACGTTTCTAATACGTTTAATTTCATAATGCTTGTGGGTATACAATATTTTTTATTGTTCCATTGTCTGTGCATCAATTCCAACACAATGTCACACGAAATAATAAAATCAAAATGAAAATAAATCGAAATCTATGAAAATTCAATTTAACAATGCAATCGGAAACATTGAAATGGAATCGTAAAATTGGAAATTTGGAAATCATAAATGGATCGTAAATCGGAAACATTGAAATGGAATCGTAAAATCGTAGCGTGTGTTGCTTTTACGTCCAGCAGATGGCGCTGTTTTTCAAAAAATATGTTTTTACCTGTCACAGGTGTGACATCTATATAATATAGGTATATAAAAACACGCGCGTATTCGAATGCAACGTTGTGTCAAAATTTCAAAGCAATCGGTGAACTTTCGGAGATTTAAGATTTTGAACAAACGAACATTTACATTTTTATTTATATAGATTTTATTTTATTTGCCTCCTCACCCATCTCATAGCAAAACGACTATGGGTGGCTTCCAGAATTAAAACAGTAAAATCCTAACAAATATCTTAAAAGAATAGAAAATAGAAATCCCAATCAAGATAAAACATAGTTAAAATAAAGTGGAGGCAGGGAAGACGATGCAGGGGTGGGATTGCCTCTTAATCCAATAACCATCTCCAGTGTGATGGTCCTCCATTAGGGCCCCCAGCCATCTGGCAGAGCCAGGTCTTCAGGCCCCTGCAGAAGGATAGAAAGATGGGAGGCAATTTTACCTCAGGAGGCAAGATGTTCCAAAGAGTTTCTGGAAGCAGAGCCAGAAATTGAAGAGAAGACAGAGAAGACAGAGAAGAAGACACTGTGCTAAGGATCAGAGTATAGAAAGCAGGGGACGTTCAGACTGGTTGTTCACATAATTTTAGAGGCCCTTTGCAAGCAGTTAGCTTAACACTCTGAGGAAAGATGTCTGTGGAGATTCTCAGTCATCCAAGTCGTAGTTGTCTCAAAGGTGCTTTTTCAAAAGGCAACTTGACTGTTTCTTTCCTTGAGGAACAAAACATTTCATTTCTCATCCAAAAAACTTCAGTTGTGATGGGGGGGGGGGAATGGAAGGCTAGGTACTAACAGTTGGGACCGGGATGGTAGGGGGATGAAAGGATAGGTTTTGACCAGATGGTGCATCACAGTAATTTCCATTCCTTTGAAAATAGCTGCCAGAGCAATGTATCTTTTTTTTTTCATTTCTTTCTACAGAGATATTAGTAAAAATGCCCACTTGGGCTTTAAGCCTTTCCTCTACTGGACCTTCTTGGGATTTTTTCATGCATTTGCTTTCTTCTTTGGCTCCTATCTTCTAATGGGAAAAGACACTTCATTGTTAGGAAACGGCCAGGTAAAGTAGAATGCTAATCTACTATGAAAACTGTATTGTGGGGTATGTAATGTGCTATGTAAACTGAATCATTGTAAAACATGTATCAGCCAGAAGTGTTTGTGCTTTCTTAATATCTTCTTAACATAGCTATTGAGATCCAAATGTCCTTGAAAAAGAACTCAACTTTAATTACCTCGAGATAAACTAAGCATTATGTAAACTGAGATACCAAACAGTTGGATATTAACTCTGGGGTTTCAGGAACTGACTGTCAACTGCTCATATTTCTGTTTTATATTCTGTGTGGTGTACTTCCTCTGGATTTCTCCACACAAATTTGAAACCAGAGGACCGGGTGCCCAAGTTATTTATTGACAGCTTATGAATAAGCATCTTCTGAAAATGAACAGAGCTGAGCAAAAACCTGATTCCCAGATCCCTTATTTGACTTACTTGTGATCTGTTATACTTCAGTTACACAACTGAGCAAACTTGGTTTTGTATCATTGTGTGGGCACAGTCAGGAATCTGGGATAGTCTAACCACTGTCTGCTATTTTTAGCTGGAGTACAAAAGTACACCATGGGTTAACTCTTAATTTCAGCATAGCTGGCATGCACGAAGAAAGAATCCACATTGTTATGTGTGAATTCTGTGGGTTGGTTTAGCTTTGCACCTGTAACGGCTGTATACTACAATTTTGCACTTTTAGTTTCCTTCTAACCTACCCCTTTTTTTCATGCTGTGCATGTCATCAGCTACTCAAACCTAACAGGCAAATGGTAAGATTTTATGTTGTAGGATAAAAGACATGCAGACGCTAAATGCAGTACCTTTGTAGCCGTGTTCAAGAATGCATCGCTCATTCTCCTTGA